AGATTGCTTGCTCAAGATCATTTATGTTCCATTCCCTCAACGCGCTCTTAGACACCGCACTGATCAGATCAAGGATCTTGTATTTGATTGGTCCCTACTTGGGTTGGTACAGAGGGCTGGGAATAGCATGAAAGAGGGTTGGTCTTGGTGCTGGTCTGTATCTAACCACCAAACMAACTGTAGTGGTTAGATGAGAGCCAATATTGTCCCAGAGGAAGTGTCTCTCTGCATCAGTGTCCAAACCAGCAACTGGATGGGCCTCAATGTCCTTGGAGATAGTATCAATGAAATCAGCAAAGACATGAGATGTGGTCCCTGCTTGCTGAATCACATTGACCCATCACCTTGGATTTTCAACACTCCCTCTAGTGGCTGGGGGAAATCTTGGATCCCCTGGCTCCACAGTGAGCAAGATGGTGAGCTTCTGGCCTCTTGCACAGTGTCGCAGCTTCCTAAAGCAGAAGCATGATAGAGAATAGCTGCACTTGCAGTTGGTTCTTTGGATCTCCATACCAAACCCATCCACATCAATGAACTTCCTTCTTGGAATACAAACTATCCCAACTGGAGGAGGCTCATTCCAAAAGATCTGGGTCCTGAACAAGTTCTCAGGAGTGAAGGCTTTGTAGGCTTCCATAGCTTCAACCTTTCTGGTCTTCCCAATTGCCTTGAGTCTCTTCTGAATCTGTGAACAAGTGTAGACCCCCCTCATCTGTTGTAAACATAGGCAGCAAGATTGTCAAGGCTTGAATCTGGATACATCCATAGATAGAACTCAAGATCAAAGAGCTCCCAGCCAACCAAGGTTTCAGATTCTTTGTTGCCTGCTGTCTTTTGGTATGTATGCAGTCTTTTCCTCCACCTTCTGATCAAGGCTTCACTAGCCCAAATAGGAGGAAGCCAAGCCTCCTTCCTTGCCAGTTCTGCCAGTCTAACATGCCCATCATACCCTTCAGACCCCCCTACAGAAGGGTGAGGCCTCTCAGCTCTTTGCTGTTATGTTAGTCTAGTTAGGCCATGGTCTGCTAGGAGCTTGGTAACTTTAGTATCTGCTGGATCGTTGCTCATGCTAATTGCTGATTGCTATTGACTCATAAAAAAAGAGAAGCTACACTGAAAACTCAATAAAATCTGTTAAACTTGCTTGTTTGCTACAGTTCAAGGGTTGTTAAACCGAGAATGGAAGAGAGCTATCAATTGATACCAAGTACAGCAAGAAAGAGTGAGTGGAAGTCCTTGAAATAGACTAATTCCCATGGTCGGTTGCTTTGAACCAAGTTTTTCCAATAGAATGAAAAGAACAGTTTAGTGTGCTGGATCAGCGTGCTGGAGGCAGGTTTAGGTCAAGACACTAGGCCTCATTAGGATTTTGAACGCACAATAAAAACCCTTCTATTTTGACCAAAATCTACAGTCAACTTCTTACCTTGATCCACAATTTTCTACAGCAATTTCTACACAGCTTTGTACTTCAGTCCTCCCAAAACTGATCCTGGTTCTCGCTGAGCAGCTGGGGAAGCAGCTGCTGGGCCTGCTGGCGTGCCAATACTGGGGGTAGTACAAAACCTATGTAGGCCTACATAACTACTGATGGCATCATCAATTTAAAGATCGCATCATTAACTTAACACTTCACAGTTAAATTAACGTTCCCATGCGTGTGATTAGTTGCGCAATCACTTGTTACTACGCGTTTCATCACAATTGAATACAGTCACAAAAAAGAGCAAAAAGTTATAATTTCAAGTTCTAAACTTCGATTTGAAGTTATKAACTTTTGCTCGTACATCATGTACCAGGTTCTACTGAGCTAGTTTTTTAATATGACTGAATGACCGAATCAGGATTCCCCTCAAAACAAAAAAAATGGTTCAGGGCAATTGGTTGCGGCCGCCGCCGTTGTTTTTTTTTAAGGACGGCAGCGGCCAAAAAGCTTACTATGGTGCAAAAACTAGGTTATTGCTAGGATGACTTGTATAATGACTGAATGTTTAAGTTAAAAATGAATAATCTATTTTTGGTCAAGGTACTACTTTATTTGCAAAAAATGATACTAGGGTTTGTACAAATCCACACTAAAAACAAGTTTCTTTTTGTTTCCTTGATAAGTCCAGGGCTGTACAAATTCTTCAAAGTTACTGGCTACTGCGCACTAAAGTTAGTGAAGTGCAGTGCAGAGCACCGTATCCAATTCAAAATGGTTTGAGGTGATTCAGTCATGAATCAATCATGAATGCCATCCAAAAACTATCTCAGTAGAACCTAGTAGACTTTCGACATGAAGTTCTTAACTTCAAATCGAAGTTTAGAGCTTGAAATTATTAGTTTTTGCTCTATTTTGCAACTGTGTTCAATTGTTACGAAACGCGTAGTATGATATCCGTAGTATTGAATTACTTCGTACTGTAACTGGTATCTGTAATCTGTACCGGTACATGAATACCGTGCCGTACGTATGTACTGTTTGAAATGTGGACACCAATTTTCGATGACTGCAATCCTGATCTTAATTATTAGAAGTAATTTTTTATTCCTTACAGTACTTATTTGGGTTCGAATTAAGACTATTGATTTCTAACAGGTTATGAGTACATAAAACGCGCCAGTTTTTTGCTAACTTTGCTTGCTTGTTAACTCAGCAGAAAGCACCAACCAGAATTAGAGAATCCATCAGTCCGAAAGGGTTTTCCCTCCTCTTTCGATACATGTCCATATTGTATATGTTTCCTGTCAGAGAACCTTTTCGGGCTTGTTGATTTCTGAGCGCACAAAAAATAAAAAATATTTTCATTAAATCAACCTCAACAAGGCAAGCTGTCACTCCTCCAGATCTTCATCAATACCCAACCAATCGTGCTCACAAGACAAGCGTTTTAATCCTTACAATAAGGGGAAGTGGATCGTGAAGTATCGTTGCGATTGACCAAGTGATTTAGAAGCAACAGTACATCCAAGCTACAGCAAAAAATCATTGTGAAAACAGCAATGACGAACTCCACAGTGTAACAAAAAAGAAACCATCTTCCCCTCCATAACAGAGACAACCAGTGTCCGGAACCTCCTTAATACATCAAAGGAGACTTGATCCGGAAGTATCGTTGCAATCGACCGGGTATTTTGAAAAAAAAAGCAGTTTTTGCTGTATTTTGGGTGTATTTTGGCTCTGAAATGAGCAATAACAGCAACAAGAAGATGAAAACAAGCATGCCAGGCCCCCCCAGAGCTAGCGCTGTACTCCCAGTAGCGATCTGGTCCATTACCAGGGGATGTGTGGAAACGCGTGCTGAATCAGGAGCAGTAAGACAAGCTATTGGAAATGTGGGTTAAGGTGAAAAATGATCCCATCCCTCCATCAGCTTCTTGGACTGATTCTGATGAGGCTCTGTTACAGAGACTGAAAGATGATGAGATAATAATCAGAGAAACTGCCTATGGAAGAGAGAGGGAGAGATTGAAGAACCAAGCACTATCTTTTCTTGCAAGTTTGACTGAAGAAGAGAGAGTTGCTTCMAATATCTCTGTTGAGGTACTGGAGGGAGTGAAAGGCTTAGTTGATACTGATCCTGTAGTTGGTGAAGTTGCTGAAGTGTAAGTGTAAGTGTAATTTATGTTAAGAGAGATCTGTTCTTGGAATCGATTTTGATTTTATTCCATGCAAATAAGCAGTGTCCGGATTTCGATTTCGTTTCGCCGACGTGAATTCTGAGAGGAAAAAAGCTCGGAGCTCGGAAGAAGCTCGGAGCTACGAAATAAGAGTGAAGCATTTTATCGATTCCGATTTCGATTCTATTCCATGTTAATAACTATTCTCCGGAAATCGATTTCGTTTCACCGATTCGATTTCTCAAAAAGTGAGCCAAAAAAAAACTTTCTTTTTGGTTCCAGGTGGAATTAAGTGACAGCTTTATGTTCCGGGTGTAAAATAAGACTATTGTTCCACACGTAGAGTCCTGTAGAATCCCTACCGTTAAAAAAGCTGTCACGTCGTAATTCGGACCCGCTCGGGTACAACAAAGACCGTTACGAGAAGAGTCAGGACGGCGCGTTTTTAAAAATATTTTCTGTAAAAAATTTCTGTGCTTCTGCAAACCGTACCAATAGTTCGTTCTCTCACAGTACCGATAGCATCCAATCTTACCGCAAACGAACGGACTAGAACGCAGCTTAGTCTCACATCCATCTGGAGGAAAGCAACAACGAACGCACTAACAACAACCTGAAAAAAACCCTGGTGCTACAATGGAGATTTCTGGAGAATCGATCTTTCACAAAGGCAGCAGCCGAAGCATTCATTTGGCAGATGATGACTATGGCGAAGGGCAAAATAATTCCTTCAACAGACGTACTAATGACGAGAACGTTGATCCAAGTTCATTTCCTTTAACTTCTGAATCACCACTTCGTATGAGAACGAAACTGAAAGATCGGCGCTCGTTGATGAAGAAACAAGCCAGCAGTCGACGACGTCGTCGATCATCTGCAAGATTTTTGAGGATAACTCCCGATGACGAGGACAATACCAACGAAATGAAACGAGGACAATACGATGCTTCGAGTTTCACCAGCCTTGGAGAAGTTTATCGCAACGCTATCAGGATGAACGCGGAGAATCGGATCAACGCTTCGAACTCCTGGAACTTGAACCTGATTGATCATTTAGATCGGTTTATAGCACCTGAATTGCGATCAGACATCGGTGGCGAGAGTGTTGGTCGTCGTAGTCAAGTCATGAACCCTGGTAGTGCCAATGACACTGTAAAGACTACCACTAATCCATTAGGCTCGACTATTGATTCAACTATGATCTCTGGAGTCAACTTTACGAAGGCCAGTTGTACACTGGATGCATCTGTCAAGATTTATTCGTATCGTGTCGATGATGTCCATTTGACGTCCTATAAAGTTTTGGCCAACCTCAACCGAACAGATACTGGTACTCAATCTAATAACAAAAGTAAGAATGTTTCAGTCTCAGATACAGTCTACAACGATCCTAATGTGGGTAATGACGATGGTGAATTGAGCTCAAGATCTAAAATGCCACATAGGAAAACCAACGCAGCTGAAACCTTGGAGCAGAACGTCGGTGAGTATTCACTTTCGGTGAACTTATTTTTGGCATTATTACTTTGTTCTCCCATTCAACTAAACGTCGCATAACTTCCTAATATTTGGAATGTACTTGACAGCAAACATCAACATTCACAAACTCGATGCTGCCTTTGACATTGATCCCTTGTTCCACAAAATGTCGAAAACTTTTGACGAGGGTGGAGCAAAAGGTCTTTTGCTCGCCAACCTTGGTGTAAGCAATTCTGGGTGCAAAATTGTTTTCGATTCGACCCTGGACACGGAAGAAACTCCTGCTCCTTTGATCTCGAAGGAATGTTTGACTGATCAAGACCAAGACCCAGGAATCCAAGATGAAATATTGGCTCCGAAACCCACAGTTGACGTATCTGGTCTGGTTGGAAAATTAGAAAACCTCCTGTCTAGTGCCTATGGAAGTTACAGTAACATGGAAAATATACCTCTAGTCCCTCAGCTCGCGTCTCTACGCAATCAATATGCTGAGCTTCGAGAAGGTGGATTCATTGAGACCGGAGTAGTATTCGTACGTATGATTACACGAAAATTGATGAAAGAGATGATTCAACCAATCTCTTACTATATATATATCTAACACTTTGGATCATCTTTGAACCTAATCAATCAGTCTGATCGATACGCTAGCAGTACGGAGGAAGAAGCTGAAGCTGACAAATCGATTCATCTCGAGGCAATTGAACGAAGTCAAGCCTCCCAAGCAGATCTGGGTAGATCTCGTATTTCTCGAGAAAGTACAGAGACATATGGTGCTGTCGAAGATAACGATCATTACACCAATAGTTTCGGATATGGTTGCGATGACGATAATTTATTTGAAGACTTACACGACGATGATCATCGATACTCCTCTTCAAGTTTTCAGGGTGCTCGGGCATCCACCGGTGATGTTGCCGCGAACGAAGGCAGCAAATTGTCACGACCGACTTTCTCACAAGCAAGTCTACTACTGGATGCAATCGCGTCAGGAGATATTTCGACGACACAACCTGGCAATCACTACGAGTTTTTCAACACACAGGCATTGGAGAGTCTATCGACGGGAAATTGGTGGGCTGGAGCAGGTCATTGGAAAAAGATTCCTTCAAAGAGAAGGTACAAGAGTAGCCCTGGAATTATCGGTGGGAATAGTAGCAACAGTAGTGGTGGCATAGAAAAAAATGCAAGATTAGACTTAAAAAAAAGGAGAGGACGCAATACTAAGACAAAATCACTTTTGTCGCCGGGAAGCAAGATGTTGGTGTCGATCTCGGAATCAACCAAATCTCTTGAGGACTTACTTGAAAGATCGAAATGCAAGCATTTGAAGAATACTACCAATTCGTTTCAACTCACGAAGGCAATGCAAACAAAGTATGGCAAAGCCGATAATCTATTACCAGTTGATGCTGGCTTAGGAATCAAAGAACTTGGGACCTTATTCTTGCGACCGAAGATCGGTCTTACCGATATGGTGAAGGCGAAACAGGAAGTAGAAGATACGATGGAAGCGGTTAGTCGGACCAGGGCTGTTGGATTTGGTGGGACAGAGACCTGGGGAGTAGACGATGACAGTCTATATGGAGCTAGTGATGATGGAGTTGGATTCGATGTAGTGGACACTGATACCGGGAAAGATGAGGTACATGACAAGAACGAGTTTGTCATACCCGATTTAGAAGACATTCGAAAGGTCAACAGAATCAAAATTGGATATGCTACAATGGCTCGAAAGGTTGATGTGAAGCGTCTGAAAAAAGATTTATGGACGGAATTGGAGCAAACATTCGTGTCAAAGACACAGGATGATATAGAAAGAAACAAAAATTCTGGTGATCTCTCGATTAAAAAAACTGCTTCCGATGAAAAGTTTCGTGGTTCTAATTCGTATGATGAATTTGATGATGATATCCGGTCAAATGCTAAAATTCAGCCTACAAACATTGCACAGTCACTTTCATTTCAAGATACGGTGCGGGACATGCAAGCAAATCAATCCCAGCCTGACGTCACCCTGCCGTTCTACTTTATCTGTATTCTGCATTTGTGCAACGAAAAGGGGTTATCACTGGAGTCGTCTGGGTTGGAAGATTTTGTTATTCATAGTGCTTAATCGGTTTCCAATGTTGAGCACCAACCATAACATTTTATCGACCAGTTCTTTCCCTTGGAACGAATCGAAGAGGCTGTATTCTATGGATAGTTAACATAATATTGTGAAGTATTTGTTTTCCACAACCATAGGAAAATGAAAACACGTATGGAATTTTTCCAAACATTTATGGATATTGTTAGCTTGAACGTCACCTCTTGATTTGGTGGCTAGGATCTGTTCCAGATTGTTTGGGATATACTGGCTAGCTTCTATTATTGACAAATGGATGAGACAAGAGAGAGAGAGAGAGAGAGATTCTATACAGAGGCTGACACAAGTACTCCAGGTGATACAAGTTGTACTGATACTACGGATATCATAACAAATGATCGCGACACTAAGAAATTGGTTCCSATCGTTATTTTAATGATGCCATCCTTAGCCCAGTAGAACACAGTACAAAATGTACTGAGGTAGTTTGCAACTATTCTGGTGGCGGAGAACCAATCCTGCTTCTTTCTCAGAAGGCAAAACATGCTGAAAATTTCAGGGAGCAACACTCAGTAGAGCTCTGTAGAATTTGTACTGAAAAAATTAAGGATGGCATCATTAAAATAACGATGGGAACCAATTTCTTAGTGTCGCGATCATTTGTTATGATATCCGTAGTATGAGTCCAGCCAAAACTTATTCTGTTGTTACAATGGCTTCAGCAGATACAAACACTGCTGGTGTAGCTGATAAATGTATAACTGACATGAGTATTCGAATCCACTAAGCACCCATTGGACTTAAATCATCATCAGCTTCAGCAATCTCTACTGGTGTGTGCTTGCCTGTATCTATTGCTACCCATGTGATTAATCACCAGTACATTTTGCAGTGTTTTGATCAAATTGTTTTCATGGTACCAGGTGAAACCGTCCATCTGCTTTACTTCAATATCCTATTTGTACAACTTCTTTTCAGCAACTAATGTTACTATATTATTGTCTTGCATGATCTTCATTAGCTTGATCTTGACCTTAGTTGGGCCAGGTGGTAAGTACCTTTTTCTAACATGTGTTGTGGCTGGGACAAGAGTAATAGTGTCTGATATGACACTGAGATTGCCTGAGTTCTATGCATTGCCATCAAGATTCAAATCAAAAGCATTCATTGCAAACTCAATCAAATACAGTCAAATTCTTTGACAGATGGGTTTTGCATCACTTGGTCATCCAGATTTTTCAGCACAATACCAATGACAGGGCCATTATAGTAGGTACTGGTTACTAGGCCAAACCATTTAGTAGTACTGGCATCCTCCTTGTCCTTTGTGAGTTTGAGAAGGGAAGATATGACATCGGAAACTCTGTCACTGCAATACTACCAAGAAGCATAGTAGAAATAATCAAACAGGAATTAGTAGAATGCAGATACCAAAAAAGTGTGACAGCAGATACTTACTCTGCTTGGTACATAGGAGTAGTACCATCATTGTAGTAGTAGGAAACACAAGCCGCAGGTGTTCACAACAACATTTATGAGCAGTCATCTTGGTGATGATCTTGAGTTGAGGTTAATCTTATTCAAAGTACTACCTAGTCAAGAAGGTGTTCAAACTGGTCAAATTAGAAAATTTGATCTATCTTCACTTGCAAATATAATTTTATGATGAATTCAAACTAGTGAAAGCAAATAAATTGCTCTTTTGCCACACATGATTGAAGAGTTGTTATAATTCCGATCCTTATCATTAGCCAGTCAGATTGCACAATTCTTACTGAATATTACTAGTATTACACCTAACTCTTTACTAACACCAAAATGGATGTACAATGCAATTTTTGGACCAAATGACTACAGTACTTTGGTACCTGTGTTGCAACAGGGGTCCATGACTGTTCAATATGCACAACAAAAAGCGGATTTTATTTGATATTTGGTGTTTAGTATTTAGAATTAGGCATAATAAGGAGTCAAACAATCTGATTGGCTGGTTAGACACAGAGGATTTGTACTTTGTCAGAAATCAGAATTTGGATTTGCAGGATTTATTACCAGTACAGCAGTACACCAGTACACTACTAGTACACCAGTACATAATTCCACAGGGAAATTCAATTTTGAAGGGATTGGGAATTTTGATCTGTCTTATCAGCCAATCAGATTGCTTGATTCCTACTTATGTATTCTATCAAATATTAGTATTATCCCAAACTTTAATAAAATGCCAAATATTAAACAAAATCCAAAATCCACCCGTGGGTCATAATGTCATAACCCTGTGTTGATTGCTGTAGGTACCACAGTACTTGTTTGTACCAGTACACAGGGGTCATATTTTAGAGGGTTGCGCAACAGTATTTTCTTGTGCAGGATAAGAATTTCATTATTCTATGTGTGTCCAAAATTGGAAAATGTCACCCCAGGATTTTTTGACATCTTCATTGGGTGATTCCTGATATTACAGAAGTGCTAAACTGCTTATTTAGCATTTTTATAATAACAGGAATACAAATTTCAATGGACAGACCCCAAGCATGCCAACTCCATGCCAGTCTTTTTGGGAATTTGTAATTCTCCAACGTAAACACTAAAAAGACTCAAAACGCGCGCCACATTTTGCTTGGTACATAGGAAAACATGAAATTTCTGATACTAACTCAACTAGAGTAAAACATGAACTCATTTTCTGCTATTTTCAGTAGAAAATGAATTTATGTTTTACGGTAACGAGCCGACAAACACACTAGTACTAAAAGACAACAGTTTCCTCCCAGCAAAGCAAAAGGCAACATCGAACATCGGCAATGGGATTAGTGGAAGTGATCACCATGTACTGGTACCTCCAGTTGCACTCGGATGAACAAAGCTACAAAACCACACTGTCTCCAGAAGAGAGACGTCAAAGGGACAGGAGAACCCCAAAGATTGCAATAAGGAGATGTGCTGATTCCCCCTTCATCTACATGTTCCACTCAGGGGACGACCAAGCACTGCTCAATTGCTGTGGCATGGACCACAAGGTCTTCAGGGAGCTTGTTGACCTGTTTGCTCCAGTATGGAACAAGTACACAGTGAACGCTGACAATGAAATAGTACAACAAGTTGCTTATTTCCCCAGTGGCAAGCCCAAAGGGAAGAAAAGGGAGGTCAATGCAGTCTGTGCAATAGGGCTGGTCCTTTACTGGTACAGGACACGAGGATCGGTAGCAAGGACAACGGCAATGGCGTTTGGCTTAACATCCACAGTGATGTATAAGTGGCTCAAGTTTGCAAGGAGAGTGATGCTTGTTGCCCTTCACAAACATCCAGCAGCCATGGTGAGTGTCCCAAATAAGCAAGAAGTGGATGCTTATGTTAAGGCCATTGGAGACAAGTATCCAAGGCTTGGACGCCAACACGTCTGGGCTGCTGCTGATGGGCTCAAGCAAGTGATTGAAGCCTCCAGAGACTGGTTTAAACAAAGACCATTCTACAATGCATGGAAGGAGAACACCTAGTACGTCAACAGTGAATTTGCCTTTGCACCAGATGGAAAGATCAGGATAGCAGTGTACAACTGCCCGGGGGCATGGCATGACAGTGCGATTGCTGAGCATGGTGTGTATCAAAGGATTGTGGAGGTCCATGAAGAGTGTGGTGGAAAGGTTGTTGTCAACTCAGCCTTTGCACTGAAGGAATACAAGGAAAGTCTCATCAAAAGCTCACAGAGAGACCCTGATCAACCTGAGTGCATACTTCTCAACAGGGACGCGACCTCCCTGAGACAGATGTCAGAATGGGGAATGCGCATGATCCAGGGACAGTTCCCTAGAATCAAAGACAGGATGTGCTTAGAGGAGCAGGGGGAAAGAAGGATCACCATGAACCTTCTTATCAACTTGTATAACTACCAGTGTAGTTACATAGGACACAACCAAATCCTGTCGACATTCATGACGACACCACCAGCAACCGATCCAGTGATTCCTTATGAAGAGTTAAGGAATGACCTCGTAGGAGGATACTTTCATGTAGGATGCCGGCTCTCTGCAGATGGAAATGGAGTATTTCTTTAAGGAAATCCCATGGTGAAGAGGATATTGTCGTTAGTTTGGAACAAGAGAGTTTAGTGAGTTTAGCAAGAAAAAAGATACAGTACAAGGATCATTCTTTATGACAACGATCAATACAGCACCAATCAATACAGCACCAATCAATACAGGATCAATTCCCATGGTCAATTTTGTTCTGTGGTTTTTGCGAAAGAGGCATGTTTAGCAGTTGGTTGAGCACAAACTGTTTTGAATGTTTTGAAAAAAACACTGCTAAGGTAGTGTAGTCGATCCGGCTTAACAGTGTCCTTTTCAAAACAAATCCGGCTCAATACAAACAACAACGCGATACAAGCAACACACGAGGATACAAAACAACAATATGAGCACCACCATCATGGTGGAAAGAATGCAGTAGTTACTTTCCTTAACTGGTTTGAATGAGCAACACTGTGTTGTTTGCTTGCATTGAGCAATATATATGAGGGGGGGGATTAGCTGCTATCGTAGGAGCAAGCAGCTAAGTAGCTGATACATGAGTAAGGTTTTCATGTATACACCTGTGACCTGGCTTCTGCGTTTGTTGATACACACAAATGATGGAGTACATACCAATTTATACTGTAATGAATAAATGGTCAGCATTATACTGTAATGAAAAAAAGTTTATGATACAACATGTGCATGCCAATCCAAACCGTTTTTGTGGGACTTCCCACGTACCGATACAGGCAAAACAGTTCTAATCCCGCATTGGTGTACACGGTCTCCTTCACAAGAAAACCTATAAGCAAGCTTACTAGAAAAGTACCTGACAACACGCGAACCAACTAACTAGCTCAAGCTCATTGTTTAGTACCAGGACAGATACAGGAGTATCATAGTTTAGTTAATTTAGTCTAAAGTAATGTAAGAATGTAATCGTTTAAACGCCAGGACCATGGTGCTTCTTCTTTTCACCATGGGATTCTTCCTCTCCTGTGCGTTCGCATTTGTTGGACATTGAGGCAGCAGCAGGCGATGTTACGACAGTTGATACAACTGAAGGAGGACCATAGGAATGGTAATGGTAGGGGGTAGGGGGACCGGGAGGAGGAGGACCATGGTAAGAATGTTGTTGTTGCTGCTGCCAGGTATTCATCATGCTAACAGCTGCTCCAAGGACTTTCTCTGCTACCTCCTTTACACCACTCCACATCTCAATACTGCATTGGTCTCTTCTTTCCTCTCTTTGTTGCTGCTTAATAATGTATTCGTTGAATACAGCAGCGTCAGGGACAGTTTTCCTTTGTTGTCCTTGGTAAGATCTCTTCTTTGCTGGGGTAGATTCAACAAGAGAAGGGGTCAAGTTACTGGCAGCAGCAGAGGAAGCAACAGCAGCAGGAGCATACTCCTCTCGCTCCTGCCGTTGCTGTTCTTCTGACGAGGATTCATCTCCAGCAAGAAGAATTTGAGCTCCTGTTGATCCGCCACCAGCAGTTGCAGCTGTAGTTGCCCCTGAAGAAAGCGCTGTTAAACCAGCTACAGCCTCACTCTTAATGAAGCCTTGCTCCAGATCAAAGACCTCCTCTGCAGTACCAAGATTTGCCTTTTCACCAATCAACTTGTGGGCTAGCCGGGCCATCCTCACGTACTCCAGCATGTTGGGATTTCCGGTGGAGCTCTTGATCCTCCTCAAAGCTGCATACTTAGTCCTGATGGAGGTCGTGGTCCTACCAACAGGCAAACTCTCAGCATGCTTTGCTGTAATGCACTCCCATCCCTCACCACATGTGGGGAGTACATCCAGTATCAACCTCATGAGATCAGTGACCTCTGCTCAAGAGTAGTTTATAGTACCAGTCTTGCGGCCGATATTGCCACTGCTACTGCCACCACTTGCAGGCTGGTGAGCAGTTGTGCTGCCATTATTGCCACCAGCAGTTGGCTCCATCTAGTGAACAAATAATGTGGGGGATGGGACAACAATGGTGGGCCTGCTCCTCTTGTTGCTCCTCCTCCTCCTCTTGCTCCTCTCTTTGCTGCAACAAAGAAAGGAAATAGAATGCACTGACTAACAGCACAGATCGAGACATAGTTTATTTCTTGGGCGCCATTCTTATTACTGTAGAGGCGCCTTCTGGTATGACATTTTGATACTTGTTTAGAAAAGAGGATGTTTGGCCAGGTGTTAATTTTGGCGGGCCTTTCTGTTGAATCTTAAAACGGACTTGAAATTTTGATTCATGGGTTCCCTCATAGATTTAGCACATTTTGGATCAGTCCGTTGGACCCATCCAAAAAATGCTAAATCTATGACAAAATGTGCTAGATTTATGGTCCGTCCGTCTATCCAATTTAGCATTTCTATAATATCGGGAATCACCCATTTTTACTGTATCGTATAGCGTGGGCCAAGCAAAAAAAGACGCACCAGTTGTACATTAGCAATTCAAGATATGCGTAAATGAATATCAGTCAATATTTATCAGATGCCGTACTTCCCCACCACATTCGAAAGCTCTTTGAATTATCTTTTTAACCATGTGCTTATCATACTTAAGCGTCCATTGGGGGAAAAGTTATGGCCCAATTTGTCAGTTCAAGACTAAAACAGAGAGGATTAAAATCCAAGAAACACTTACTACTTGACTCCCAAATATGAGTGCAATGAGAGATGTGCATATGAAGTTTGAAAATCAGAGAGTGATTGGAAGTGTTCCTGTGTAGGGGGTCTTTCAGGTACACTTTTAGCAGTGATGTGCAGTAAAAATGAAGTTGTCAAAAAATCCTGGGGTGACATTTTCCAATTTCGGACACACATGAAATAAGTGTTTTCGATGCAACGCACCCCTCGCCTCCAAATTATGACCCCTCCCGGTACGTACAGTACAGAACAAATTACAGAAATTATTTTTTAAATATAAATACTTACGACTCGTACCGTCCGTCCGGTAAGACGGTCAGCTCATTTTTAAATTCTAATGTTTGCGATCCAATCAAATTTCGTGAAGAAAACGCCAGCGCGTCATTGGTACCGTTCGTACCACACTGGATACGGCATTAAGAATATTCAACAACAACCGATCAGTTTCAGATGGTTACCGGTTGCCAATAGCACACCAGAATCAGGATACCAAAAGATTATGTGAGATTCATTGGTTGACATCCATTCTGCTCCTATTATTCAACTCCACAATAACGAACCATTTGTTGACACCAAAACCATTATCTTCGTCTAAAGCAAACTCTCGTGTGATACAGTAAAGTATCTCAGACTGAAGTGCAAGAAAGACCAGATAACAATTTGTTTTGTTACAAACGCAAACTGCCGCATATCCTACATCAACTTTTCTGAGTTTCGAGTCATGAAGTGTTTCAAGTCAAAATCTTCCTTATTGTTCGGACTCCTGGCATTTTTATCCATCGCCGTGAATGCCTCCACTGCAGAAAGATCATCTCCTACAGCTGGACACTTTCGAGTTGTCTTGGATAGTCCTCGCGGCAATGAAAAGAAAACTCGCTTGATGCTCAAGAACAAGATCCAATCATCAGTTGCTGATGTTGACCTTCGAGCTATGGTGGAGCGTGCAAAGAAAGAGTTTAAGACCATTTCCGAAAAGACTAGGCACATCGGAGAAGAAGCCAAAGAAATCGTCGAAACGTTCAAGGATAGTTTGCAACATTATTCAAGGAAGGAGCTCGGAATCTATGCTGCGCTAACAGTTGCACTGACAGTTACTTTGAAGAGTAAGCTAATATCGTTATGCCTCGTGCTGGTGTTGTTCAACGAGTATGACTCGCGTTCTTCTCGCTTTTGGTATGCACACAGGTTACAAGTTGGTACTTGTGCTGTAGGCTTGTGTTCGGTATTCAACAGAAGCTCAAAGATTCTCGTGACAAACAAAAAACTCGCTCATTAGACTTTTTTCTTTTTCGTCATGACTTGTCATTCAACTTTCTGATGAATCTAGCTGTAGTCTTTTCCAAATCTTCCTCAAAGACTCTTGATCTCGGTAAGATCAGCTACATCCTTGCATCAACCTCTGCTCTCACTGCCACGGAAAAGCTCTCCTCAATTCTCGAGTTCCACAACAAGTACGGGCGTTCAGCGAAACCACCAGAACTAGCTATCACTCCATCGATCGTTAGCAGTGATGGGAAGACATTTATCCGCACGGTAAAGAAAACCTTGAAACATACATCATACCAACCTCCTAGCAACAATGTGCCGGCTCAGTCCCGACCGGCGCAAGTGGTCATCGATACTGTTTCGGCATTTTATCCAGACTCAGAACCTACCATTGCGAAGTCACTTCCAGCGTCACACAATGCCGTTATTGATACAATGTCTCCTTCCATGCGTCGAACTCTAAAAGCCCGCCGAATCCGCGTTCGAGGTGGAGCAACAAAGAGTGCTCTTCTGCAGCGATTGGAAATTGGAGGATACTTTGCTACCTGGTACGCTCTGAACATTGTTTACAACATCGTCAACAAAAAAGTACTGAACGTTCTTCCAGCCCCACTGACTGTGGGTACCATTCAGTTTGGTGTAGGAGCTCTCTACTGTGCACTGGTTTGGATGCTAAAGCTTCGTCCTCGTCCAACACTGACTAAAACTGGAAGAAAGTCTGTCGTATCAGTTGGAGCATATCACATGCTAGGACAGTTGGCCACCATGATCGCCCTTGGAGCTGGTCCTGTGTCCTTTACTCACATTGTGAAAGCGGTAAGTGACTAGGAATCATGCTCTCCCATCTATCAAATAATTTTTTAGTTTGTCCATCGACGGATCTAACTTGTTTGTTTTGGTTTCCTCGTGCAGGTGGAACCTTTTTTCAGTGCCATGGTTTCTGGGTTTTACTTTAACAAGTGGATGCCACCACAAGTTTATGCTACATTGATTCCTGTTGTTGGTGGTGTTGGCTACGCTTGTATGAAGGAACTCAACTTTTCCTGGTTAGCATTTGGAGCGGCGTTGTCCAGCAACTTGTTCTTTGCTCTTCGAGCAGTAGTATCAAAGTCAGCCTTGCAATCTGGCAGCGCGACGGGGTCTAATTTGAGCCCTCCCAACATGTTCGGTCTGGTGACCATGGCAGCGTTTTTGATCTCCATCCCAGTCGCATTGTTCCAGGAGGGTTCAGGATTTTTGTCGCTGTGGACTGCTGCGTTGGACCAAGTCGAGAGCAAAGCGCAATTGATCCGTGCGATCTTCGTTTCTGGCCTCTTCCACTACTTGAACAATGAGGTGATGTACATGGCTCTTGGTAGCGTCCACCCTGTGACTCTTGCTGTAGGAAATACCATGAAGCGCGTCTTCATTCTGGTAGCATCTGTTCTTGTTTTCCGAAATCCTGTTACCGTACAGGCCGGTATCGGTTCGGCCGTTGGTGTTTCCGGTGTTCTTTTGTACAGTCTTACCAAACAGTATTACGAGTCATTGGAAAGTAAGGCGCCCGCCTCGAAATCCAAAGGGAAGGGAAAAAGATAATTTTTCCACATTCGACACAGTCGACGAGCTGAGTTGTAGGAATCGTTGTTGTCGGCGAAAAAATAGATGGCTATCGCTTTCGCATGCATTTCAAGCTATTATTGTTAATACGTGATTTTTAAACGTCGTAACATGTTGAAAATCTAAAAGCTACGTAGTCAATACTGTTGTTCTATGATAGGAGCTGTGGAATATGATCGAAAGAGGTACCGGTACGTGTGCTGTGGTCTCGAAATATGCCATCTGCAGCCACCAGACTCTATATATCTTTGCTAAATAATCATTCGTGATATAGTGCGATTGAAATCAAACCAATGGGTTCCATGATTACTGTGACCTAAGTTGATGCTTTGGATGATATTGTGATACGAAACATCCCTCACATCTCTTACAGTTTCTGATCTAGATTTTGTTACTACTCAGCTCATCGTCGGACGTTGCTCATGTAGCCTCTACCCCGTCCACGCTGAGACGAGGGAAATATTTTAGAAACATCTCTTGGACCTTCTCTCGACGGATTCTTTACACTCATTGACATATCTACTCCCAACCTCGCAAATCCAGAAGCTCCCTTCCATTCCTTTTTCTGTCTGCCATCTTGGTCTCCGGTAGGAGGTGCTTCTTTACGTTTTCTGGTTGGCTTCAAGGTTTTGCTCTTACCTGTATCTTCGACGTCGTGAATTCCTTCCTTTGCAAATTTTGTGACAAGAAAAGTTAGATATGCACTAGGATTGTTCATGTCCCTCCCTCCTTTCTCGATATATTCAGCCACTGCTGCCTGCACAACAGGACCAGAGTGACGCTTACAGACACTAACGACTCCCTCATCTAACTCGTCTTCTCTTAGTTCTCCATTTTGTTTATATTCAGCAAGAATATTCTCGACAACTTCTGCAAAGTAAGCGCCTTGTTCTTTGCGATAATGCTCAAGTTTGGATTTGCGGGCCTGACTATTTCGTTTCCCCCCAGCGGACCTTTCAATATTGATACGGCGACCCTTCAGATAGGTTTGGTGTAGCTTCAAGAGTGCGTACAAGAATTCTGGATCGTCTACTTCGACAAAAGCCATGCCGCGGGATTTTTTAGTTTGAGGGTCGCTCAACAATCGAATCTTGGTTATTTTATTTATTTGCGAAGCTGGGAATTCGCCGCCCAAATGAGATTGAATGTGATCCATCAAATCATCTCTTGTGGTTTCGTACGATAGTTGTCCAACGAAGGCGATTAGCGGATCACGGCGACGTCCGGATACCGTCGCCTCTCCCTTCTTGTTGTCGTGGAGACTTTTGTTCTTTTCATACCAATCAAGAAGCTCTTCAACGGGGATTCCAGTTTCTTCGGAACAAATCGCTTCTGCCTTACGCTTTGCCGATCTACGATCTTTCGATTTCAGTTCATCATTATTTTCGATATTCTTGAGTATCTTCAATAGCTTTTGGGCAGCGGCAAGTCTACAAGAGTTTTTAATGCCAGTCGTTGATTTATCTTTATCTCCGATGGTCTCCTTCGAGGTCGATTTGTCTTGTACACAATCGCTGGGAGGTATTTCGATAGGGGGGACATACTTCTCGCCTCTTTCGGCAGCCCTCTTTTCCAAACGCCGAAGCTGGGCTACAGATTTCTTTCCCATTCTATCTCTGACAGTGTGACTTCGGCAAAATTTTTTATTACTTCAACGCCCTCCACAAAAATACCGGTAGAACAAACAAATTTTAATCATTATTTTTGATATTCTAGAGAGAGATTCTAGAGAGAGACTCACATGTTTTGAAGATGAGAGAAATCAAGTAAAAAAAATGTTCTTCAATAGTTTTAGCTGAACTAGATTACTGGCAGGGCAAAAAACATGAGAACATCATCATCCGAGCGTCGGGCGTTGACGGACAGAGCTATGAACTGGGGGGAGCACGCGAAACTCGATCATTTTTTAGTTTTTTAGTTTTACTGAAACCAGAAGTGGAAGATGATCCAAAATCCACTTCAGTACCATAGGCTTTGTTTTTTACGTGTTACTTCTAAAATAGGAGAAAAAATAAAAAAAATAAAGGTTGTCTGCACGAGATTACGTGTACTCTTAGTAGGTGTTAAGTGTGTATGAAAATTGAAATTATAAGATTAAGATTAAGATCAAGATCACCGAGCGCGTTTACGAGAATTCCAAAGTTCCGATTAGAACCTCGTGTAGACCTGGTAGGGAATCCACCCGAGAGTTCTCTATTCCGGACTCGTGACATCTCTATTCTTCGTGAGGTATTCTCGAATAGTATCTTAGACCTCTCACGATCCTCAACTGAGGGATCGTATGATACATATATATGAATAGTATATTATGATGTGTAGGTAGGAATGGTATGTTCTTCCATTCCNTCTCTCTTTCTGATAAGGGCTCACAGACGCCATGAAGAATGTTGGCTCTGGCGCAGCATCTCTCAATTTTGTCGGCGTGCGCTTCACAGGAGATTGAATGAGGCTTTCTTACTGCTTCTGACTTCAAGTAATCAATAACATCATCCCTGGCACTCTTGGATGAAGCGTAAAACTTCCTGAAGGTTTGGAGAGCTAYTTCCCRATGTGCTTTGCTCTTCCTTGTCACTCTGCTGCTTAATCTGTTGTTGCGCCACATGTTATTCCACTTCTGTCTGGGCCCATGTGCCAGGACCAAGAGCCAGTATTCGTCTATATGCTCATCCCTCAGTTTCAAGTTGTATGCTGCATCTTCAAAGGCTTCCTGTACATGGAATAACTCTTGTACTCCATATTGTCCGGAGAAGACMACACAGCTTCTTTTCTTTTTCATTGCCGGTATTTCGACTGTTGTTTGATTGGCTGCTCTTCCTGATGTYTCTGTTCTTGCTGGGTGATCCACAAAGATACTGACMCTATCAAGGTCGCTCTTCTTGAATTGGTTGTCAAGGGTAAGACACGATTGGTGTGAATGTTGATATCGGGAGGAGTTCTTTGTATTCTTATTGTTTG